GATGTACCACAGGAGACAATCTGTCACCCCAACAATTGACTTTTTCCTCTACTCTTGCTCATAAGTGTAGCTCAGTGTTTATTAGCACTTAAATGATTTTTTATTTTGTCACCAATCAGTGCAAGAAATTTTAGATTTTTTTTCAGGATGTCAGTCAGATTCTGAAAACAGTGAATTGAAAGACAACATATTTAACAATGATCTTACTGTATATAACGTTCTGTGATTCAGGGCTGCAGAAAGAGCAGACTTATTAAATGTCAAATATTCTTTTTCCTTCTCAAAACCTAGTTCCTACATAACCCATACTGCAATTTGAAAACTCTTGCTTGTCTAAGCCTCCAGATGAATGTGTTCTGGTGTCAGAAGCTTGCAAAGCTACCAGATTCGAGCACAGGCAAATTTAAGAGCTGCCAAAGACGTCTGGTAAGCAGACTTGTATCTGACCCCACACCCAAATATTCATTTCATTTTCACACTCCAAGGCCCAAACAGATGCAGACTCACATGAGGATATTTAGCAGCTTTGGCATGGCTCCCATGGAGAGCCAAAACTGACAGGCGGAGATTTCTGAATCTCTTTGATGTTTCTGTGTATTTAATTGTTGATACAAATTCACCTTAAAGAGACTTCACTTTAGTTTATCCTCTTTATTTTTGTATCCCCTCTCCCTCAATATTGACACAATCTGCTAAATGTGTTCTCACGGTGTCCTTCTCTTTCCTACCACAATAACTCCTCAGATTTCTGTTATCTCTCCACAGTCCTGACCTCTGTCTCTGAGCGGGAGTTCATTGAGGGGCGAAGACGTGCTCTCCACAGATTCCTTAACCTGGTGGCGCGGCATCCCTTCTTCTCAGAGGACGAGCTGGTCAAGACTTTCCTCACCTTCAGCGGCTCCGTATGTTGTCATTCTGTCACTTGTTCTGTGTCTCGGGCTTGTTGCGCAAGAAGCGTTATTATCATCATGATGACTGAGAAGGAAACTGCATCCTGTTCCAGCCACTCAGTGTCTTTTTCCTCACCCTTCTTCCCACACAGGATGTTCAGACTAAGCTGCGTGACATTTACAAGAAAACGGGCGACGAGTTCATGACCAACAGAATTGCAACACTAGCAAAGGTTAGTAATAGTACCCCCCCCAAAAAAAACCCTGACGTGTTCTTGAAAACTCTTACTAATTCATTTAAAATTAGACTTTCAGAAAGCCGTGTTTGATCTGTTTGCAGGAATATCTCCCATCTGACATTCAAGCCCAGTTCTCGACAAGCAGAGAGCTGATCAGAAACATCCACAACAGTTTCAACAAGCTGCGCGACAGAGCCGAGAAAATGGCTGAGCGCTCGAAGGAGAATGCCACAGATCTTCTCATGTTTGGCAGAGAACTCAGGTATTTTATTAAAACATTTTTTCAGTATCCTGTTAATAACATTCCAAAGCTTTTTTTTGTTTTCGCTTTTTCATAGTTGTTCGCTGAACATGGGTTTTGCAGCTAAGACGCTATAATGTTTCATTCCGCCTCTGCAATAATAGTGTTTGTTTTTCCTGCAGTACGCTGGGCTCAGACTCTTCGTCTCTTCCCTCCTTGGCCTCCTCGCAGAGCACCTGGGGGACCCTGCGTCAGTCTCTGAAGAGTCTGTCTGTGGAGTTCGCTGTGTTGTCTGACAAAGCTGCTCAGCAGGTACAGCCCTCGGTCCTTCACCCGCACCATCCTGCTCCGCTCTGCCGGACCAACATATGTCATAAATTCTGTTTTCTACTTTTTATTGATGTCCTCAGGGCAGACGGGAAGAGGATGATGTCGTGGAAAAACTGAATGTTTTCCTGGATTTGCTCCAATCATACAGAGTGAGTGCATTCGTTTAACCTGAGTCCACCTGACTGACACGAGAGGGGATTCTGCTTTGATGTTTCAGGATGCAGAGACTTGTGCACATTTTATGAAGCATTGCAGTTATGTTTTTGAGCCTGACTTCAGTTTATAAACCCCATGTGTCTGATGGAACAACACAACAAGGAGACGCATATTTTCAGGTCGCATAGTAATTCATTTCAACATAGTAATTAATTTAACCACAATGCATCCTATTTTTACGTATACAAGCAGTGTTTCTCAGTGGAAAATGTTGTTCCTATTAATATGTCGTTTCTGGATATCAAACAAGGGGTCTGGTTTATTGGGCAGATAAAGTAGAATTCTACATTTCTTTGACTAAATCTGTTAACTCTAATATATATGCTAATTTAATCATTTGCATAAACTGTTTTCCAGCATCCTTGGCTTGCTGTGTATTACTGATGTTCTGCATACGACTGTTGAGAGACAAATGAGAGGAACTTCATGTGACTGTGTGTGCTTTTTTTTTTTTTCTTCTTCTAGGATCTGTGTGAACGTCACGAGAAGGGCGTGCTCCACGAGCACCAGAGAGCTCTGCACAAGTACGGCATGATGAAGAGGCAGATGATGAGCGCCTCGGTGCAGCCCAAAGAGCAGGCGTCTGTGGAGCAGCTGGAGTCAAGAATTGTTCAGGTTTTCTCAGTCACTTCACATTCTTTTTGTCCACATTTGAAGGCTGTTTGGATTCTTTCCAATTTATTGCGTTTAGTATTTGACAAACAAAATACTGAATTGGGTTGGTAATCTTGTGGCTGTAGTTCCTTCGAGTCAGTAAAGTTTGTCTGTGTTTGACATGTGGTTAGAAATTTAAAGACCATTTAAATAAACAAAATGAAATAGTCGACCAGTTATGGCCAAGATGACTCCTTTGTCAGCTAACTTCGTATCAGTAACTTAAGACTTTAGGTTCCATAAGGTGTTTAAATGATTATATCAGCTGATAGTGTTGTAGACTTCAGTGTCAGATCTGTATTTAGAAAGTAGCAGCTTTTTGTTTTAAATGTAATCATCTATATGTTTGAGTAAAGGTCACATATTATACTCCTTTTCAACAAGTTTAAATGAGTCTTAGAGCTCCTCACAACATGTCTGTGAAGTTGTTTTGTCATAAATCCACAATCCTGTATTTGATCATACATATAAAGCCCTCTATTTCAGACCTGCTCAGAACAGGCTGTTTTTGTGTCTGTAGCTTTAAATGCAAATGAGCTGTGTTTGACCACGCCCCTCTGGAAGGGGATGTGGCTTGTGCTTACTTGTACCATTACCTATTGTTTATGTTGAGAAGGCAGATTCAGAGGAAAGAACAAACACCTAGCTGTGGGAGTGTCACCCACCTGGGGGAGGGGTTACTTCCCTTTTGTGATGTCACAAATCTCCAAACGGCCTGTTTGAGCACACATTTTCTGAAAAGTGGAGCCGGAAAAAGACAGAGAGGATGGACTTTTCTCTTATTTGGGGGTTCAAAAAGCATGGTGTGCAAGTGTATTTTGCACAATGTGTGTCCTTTAAGCCTTGTGACAGAACAAAATTAACAAAACTTTAACTTATAGTAATAACATTATTACTATATAAACAAGGCTACATTCATGCTAACACTGCTCATTAGCAGCTAATAGAAATAATATACCGACTTTTACATATAAGATACTAAGTTCTATTGCGGAATAAAAGACCTTTAAAGTAGTTGTGATTCATCCTAAGGGGCAGGTAAAAGTTAGCATCAGCCCAGAGCTATTCAACATCTTAAAAATGAAAATGTTTTCTGGACTGTAGGGATTGACTGACCATCTGACCACCAGAGATTGTATCTCACATTTGCATAATTAGTATTGATCTTTTGTCCTTATTTGATGAGCGGTGACATTTACGATAACGTCTTTTTTTCTGTTAATAGCAAGAAAACGCCATTCAGACCATGGAGCTGCGGAACTACTTCTCCCTGTTCTGCCTTCATCAGGAGACCCAGCTTATCTTCATCTACCTTCCAATCACATCCCACATTCTGGGCGCTTTTGTTAACTCTCAGGTCCAAGGACACAGAGAGGTGAGGCTGCTTGTCGGGGAATTCATTTTGCCACAGATGCTTCTCTGTGACGCTCCACAAGGGTCAAACCTGGTTTAAATTGCCTTTTATAGCCCGACAGAAGAACTAATAATGATGGATGATAACACTGTATGAATGATATCATCATTTAGGATGACTGAATGACTGAATCCTACATCTGCCTTTGTATATTTTAAATCAATAAAGTACACATTCTCTGTTCCTCTGTTAGGTTAACTAAAGCAGTTTTTCACTCTGATCCAGATGAATACATTGAGAGTTTCTTTGGTTCTCAGAGGGCTTTAGGATTATTTTGCTCAAATGTTCTTCTAAAAAAGGAATTACACTTTATTCTGTTGGTCACAAACTGACTTGCTTGCTTTCTTTCTTTCCAGATGGGCGAGGTTTGGAACGACCTCCAGCCAAAGCTCGGGTGTCTTTTTGGTGCTAATAATGGACTTAAGCCCCCCATATGAAAAACCTGAAAACTCGAGGAGGAGAGAAACACAGCCAGGGATGAGGAACACAACCAGGAAAAATAAAAATAACAGACAATGTGCAACGCCAAACTATTCGATCTTCTACAAAGTCGTCCAACATTCCAGTTAATAAGAGGATTTCTTTTTAGAAATGTAAACTGAGTATCTACTTCTTCAATTGTTTTTGGATTGATCATCAACTATGGAACTGGAAAAAGATAACGGGCTCATAAATCAGACATTTCATGCTCGGCTGGATGACGAAATAATTTCCACTTCAAAATCAAGAAAGGAAAAAAAAAAAGCCTCATGTTAAATGTTATTTTACAAGGGACCAGCCAGCATGTCAGCTGTGAAGGATGACAGTATATTCTTGCATTCCAACTAATTTCTAAAGGCATCTGTTTATATGTTAACCTTGTAAGAAGTTTTATACACTTAGATCGTTGAGTAAATGTAGGAGGGATAGAAAGTTTGACTGTTAAATGTTGAGGTTATTCTAAATCTCCATTCCTGAAGGTTTCTGGTTTTACACACAGAATCATTTTACACCAATGTATTTTTGATACAGATGTCAGTTTGTAAGGCTGTGGAGCCGCACGCTTTTGATTCTCTTTCTCTCGCTGTAATGGAGCAACATATTTGCAATTTCTGCTTTCCTGTTTCAGTTTGTCAGCTGTTTTATAAAAGCCTGTTCTCAAAGTGAACAATACTACAAAGGGCAGATCTTTGACCTGTGAAATGGCACAATGTAAAAAAAAAAAAATAAAACACTATAAGCTATCTGTTAACTGCCAAATATGTAATGATAGAAATTCGTCTTAAACACAGCTCTGCAAAATTCACGTCAGCATTTTCTACAGAGTTAAGAAATAATCAGTTTATTCCCTACAATCACTGGAAATGTTCGGCATCAAAATAGATTAAATGAGTAATTGTTGTGTATCAGCACAAACGAAATCTGTATATTGTTTTATACCTTTCCGAACACGATTAGAATTTCTGCTTTTCAGACAACTAGCATGAAAAACAACCCAGACACTTGGCATGTTTTATTACAAAAACCCCACAGGGACGATTTGACATATGAAGGCTCAGACTTTGAAAGATGCATCAACACATCTCATCTCAAATACTCTCCAATTGTGTTCAAATGAATGATGACAGAGTGCAGATCATGTGCACACATGCAACATTTACTTTATTTAGAAAGAAACTGTTTTTTTTGTTGTATTGGGAATGGAGTTGACTTAAACACAGAATAGGAGACCCAATATAAAAATATCTCTGTAGATACTGTAAATAGTCTTTAAGAAGTCTTTGCTGCATTGGGTTAAATCCAATATTCTCAGAAATAAAATCACATAATGGGTATTTCTTGCATTAATCCCTTGCTGTGGTTGTTGATCATTTGCAAATGATTTGAGTGATTGATAAAAAAAAAAGAAGCAGTGCACAGTTTTTTTTACTCTGCAGCTTAAAGCTAACATGGTGGTGTTAAAGAAACAGTCTCAGGATTTAGGTGGATATATTTGTAGATCTAATATTCACAAGTGGTTGAATATTTCTTGAATTAACGCTACCTAACTGCCAATGTACACATAGTCCGCGCCACGGTCCGTTCACTGCCACTCTAGTCAATGCTCCAGTTTCCACAGTGAGCGCCGCAGTCTGTCTCCGTAGCTAACAGCAGCACCAACATGCTCTGTTTCAAATACGCTGCAATTCAAAAGTCTGACAGAGCACACTGCAAGGATGTGCCAAGCTGGACAGAATAAAAACCACCGGGACAGGAAGTCAGACAAGGAAACAGAGCGTCCGGTCAATTTAAAAATAAAACAATATACTGATTCCCTTTCCTATTTTTTAATCACTTTATCAACATTACCCCAAAACAGGCACTGAATGAACAACAAAGCAACCACAGAAAGACAAAGCAACACGTTCTTGAAGACGCACAGACTTTGTGGAAATTGGCAGTTAGAATAAGCTAATTATATCTACAAACATCTACAAACAAGGGGGTCCGCCATGTTACACACCGGGTTTCTACGGAAGCCTTTGAGAGGACAAACTACCGTAGTTGGCGCTACAGCTGGACCTCCAAATTTTTCACAACTTTCAATCCACTGAAGGTTCCCCGTTACGCCAAAAAAGGGGACGGCAATGGAAACAAGTATAAGCTGGTTGCAATCTGCATCCTCACCACTAGTGGCCACTATATCCTACACACTGCCGCTTTAAGTCCTCCATTGTTTCCTCCCTGAAATGATGCTGAACAACAAACTCTGAACAGGGCGAACTTTGATGCTTTTTGTCTTTTTTTTTTTTTTGGTCTCGCTCATAAATGTCCACAGGCACTCAGCTCCTCCGTTGTTGTTTCAAAGTTCCTCCACTTCTTCCAGCGTGTGGCTGAGGATCACATCGTGGCCCTGAAACTTGAAGTATCCCGCAAACTTCTTGTTCTGCAGCAGCAGGGGGAACCACATGATATCGTCAGCCCACATCTCACCAAAGGGGATTTTGTCACTTTCAAACCACTGAGGCCTCATTTCTAGGAGGAAAAAAAAAGAGGAAATAATCATTTAGACACTTTTTATGAGATCTTCACCATTGACTGAAAAACCTTTTACTTCACTTATCTTTAACTTTGAGCCTGTATTATATCAATTCAGTTTGCATTACAAAGGCTTACAAACATATAAAGTAATTATCGCAATATTATCTCTTATCAAGTAAAATTATGTTTTATAGAAAAGAAAAAAAACATTACCAACTCAGTTTAATTCTGTTTTTCTCTTTTAACTCTCACATGTAGGCTACATGAGGAGTTGCTTTCTAAACACCAATGCAAGACCTTTGGGGGAAAAAAATCTATTCTCTTAATTCCTCTCAGCTAATATGAAGCTCCTGATGAACAAATCAAAGTGGGAATCTCACAAAGTTAGAATAATTTGATACTAAAATCCGTCTAGGTTTCCCTGCTAGGCTCCATTGATGGTGTATTAAAAAAAGTATTATAAAACGAGGAAATGTCTCCACAAGTGTTCAGCTGTTGCTTTTCCTCTTTTCAAAACATGTTTTAGCAGCTCTGCTTTCTCTCTTCCTCAATAACTTTTCATTCCATCTTCTTCCTTCCTTTTTTTTTTTTTTATCTCTTCAGCTCTCGGCTGTTTGACTTTTCCTGGCCTCCAGACTCCCGCACGCTAATTCCTAACTCCTCCTGCGCTTTGCTGTGTGTCTCCCAGCTTCACCATGTTGACCCTAAACTTAACTCACAGAAAACACAGATCACTGCAGGTCTCTGCATTCTTTCAGCCCAGGGCCTCTTCTCTCCCCTTTGTGTATTTGTTGTCTTTAACTTTAGCACTCAGAGAGCACTTATAGATTTCTGCCCTTTGCTAATATGCTCCGCTTGCTCACAGCCACGTCTGTGAAAAAGTTAACAAGTTTGCAGGAAACAGTTCCAATCCTTTCAGAGGATTTTCAGAAGGATCTGTGCGGATTATTTTGTTTTTAATGTGATATCCTTACACAAAACCTGGAATAAAAGTGTTTGATTTTTGTTATCTTAAATGTAATAAAACAGAGATAAGTTTGGAGTAAAAATTGAGGTAAAGTTGGTTAATATTTGGGGGAAGAAAAAGTGCAAAAACAGCAGGATTTCAGTTTGTTCCACATTACTTGATACTTGGAATTATGGAGAACAAAAACACTTCCTCGAAATAAAAAGCTTAAGCTGGACTTCCCCACTACATGCTCACAGCTCTGTGCGGCGCTGTAAGGTACCTACCCTCTGACTCTGTTGGTTCTCCATTATACTCATCGGCTCTGAAAACATGGACGTCCAGGAGCTGGGTTTCTCCAACAAATTCAAATTTGATGTTTCCCACCTTCTTCAGATCATCCACCGTCAGTCCACTTTCTTCTTGCAGCTCTCTGAAAAAGGAAAACGTCTGATTAATATTGGATATTGTGTACAACTCACAGTGCACTTCACACGGGCACTAAAAGCAGAGACGACAGTGAACGGATAACATCAGTGCTTCCTAGACAAGGAATCTATTTTTATTAATATATTATTCACAATTCCCATTTGGTGAATTTGTCATCAAGGTGATCACAACAAATCATTTTTATGTGACAGAGAAAAAGGGTTGTTTGTTGTTTCCTCAAATATTGATAACTGTCCAGCTTTTCTGAGGGATTAAGTTTTAATGGAGTTAAAAAAAAGGCTTGTGAGAATTTGCTGATTTATTGGGCCTTTTGATAGTCCTTTCACAAAGAGGAAAATAGAATGAGAACAGGTCTGACTTCCTTCCATGTTTTGGAACAAATTGTGTTGCACATGGTCCAGACTTAACATCATTTATTTTGTGGAACACGCAAAGGGCATGACCTACACATTTTAGTGTATGCTAAAATACAAACAGCCCCATTTACTGTGTTATGTTATTATCGTATGTAGAGTGGTTAAAATATATTTCAAGGCATGCCACAAAGCAAAACCAAAGCAGCAATAAAAATGTTTGTGTGCAGCTAAAACATGGCCAGTGAATATTTGTTTCTTCTTGCAAGAAATCGTCTAAAAACTGGAAGAAAATAAATCAAAACTCTTCTGGCATTGGATTGCTGCGTTTACCTTCTCGCAGCATCTTCAATGGTTTCTCCAGGTTGAACTTTCCCCCCGAACCCGTTCCACTTCCCCGCCCCGAACCCCCTCTTCTTCATGCCGAGCAGCACTCTGCCGGGCCGGACCACGAGCACCAGGGTCAGCAGCTTTGGGCTCAACATGACACCTGTCGAGGCAAGAAAACGAGACTTAACGATACAGAAACAGAAAAATGTAAATCATGTATGACGTCAACGTAGACTGTCGGGAGTTATTTTTGACTTTGCACATGCTTGCCTGTTCAATTTCTGCCCCAAAAGTATCTAAATCTGAGAAGTGACAGAAGATAAGAAGCAGTCAGTGCAGTACACAACACACACACACACACCACAGGTTGAGTGAATCCCGCGCGCGGCAGTACAGATCACGTGTTGTCACATGACGCGCTGATGCCTAAAGTCATGGCTAGGTCTAATCTACGTCAGACTGGAGTCACTCATGGCCATCACCTCATTTACAAATCAGTTAAAAGGCGTTCCCTCCAAATGTGTTCTACTAGAAACGTGTGTCTTCCTATTAAACCACCCGCCTGAATTAACCGTAAACCATGTCGTCCTTGTTGCATTTTATGCATTAAAAAACATAAAATATAAGAGGAATGTCATATATTTATAACAAATATTTTTAAATTCCCTGTTGTTGAGCAGGAAACTCATCCCAGGTAGGAAATATTGTTAACAATCTTCCATTTGGGAGACATGTTAAGGTGTTACGCAGACTCTGACCAATGGCAAGTTGTAAATTGTGTTTCTGCGCAAGCGCAGTTATGTGCACGGTACACATGACCCCGTTACAGTCAAAGCAATGTGGTGTTTTTCTTTGCAGAGGAGGTCTCTGCACTCCTCCTTGTGTTTAATGAAGAAGACGAAGAGTAAAACTCCTGCTGAGCAGCGCTGGATGCAGCGGCAGCTCAAAGACCCGTATGTCAAAGCTTCTCACCAACAACACTTCCGCTGCAGGAGCGCCTTCAAGCTGCTGGAGATAGATGACAAGTTTCGGATTTTAAAGCCCGGATACAGCGTGGTGGACTGCGGAGCGGCACCAGGAGCCTGGAGCCAAGTGGCAGTCCAGAGGGTCAATTCAGCCGGGACAGGTGAGACAGGAAGCTACGCACATGGGTGCACAAATAAACAGTGTGATGCAAAAACCAGTGCAGCAGTCTGTTACATTCAGGTGTTGTTTTAGTCTGTGATAGAGACATTGGGATCATAATTCCACCTCACTTACTGTTAAAGAAAAAAGAGCTGTGGAACTTAGAAACCAACATTTGAATGATAAAGGTCTTTGCTTTCTTAGGGAAATCTGGAAATATCTTAAAGTGTCCTATTGTATTTTCCCCATCTGCTTTTAAAATAAAACTCATAATTATTGCAGGGCCTTTGACTCATCTTATTACAAAAGTCCTAACTGCAGTCATCTGTGGTGCACATTAATAATCATCTTAAGATACCATGTGTCCAGTTCTTCAACATTTATCATAATTCCTGTTCCTCCATATTTTACAATTTGGTATTACCTTATTTGGACCAGTGCCATGTACCTATGTGTAGTTTCATGTGTATGGGATTCTTTATGTAGGCTTTCAATTGGGGAACAACTATAAAGGCTACATCAACTATTATTGCTCATAAAGGTGGATCATTTCTAAATGGTTTGATTGCCTTTATTGTCTTTATTATTTATGTTGGGACACATCATTATGTAAAAGCTTAGAATTTCTGCCCTAAATAATTAAAAAGTTGTAATCCACAGTTTATATGAATGGACGGGGAGTGGGACATACATTTTTTTTTTTTTTACACTTTTTTGACATTAAAGTTACTTTACTGAAGATATAAAATGCAGATAAGAACACTTAAATCCCTTAAATTAGAAGAATTTTAACCAATGTAACTGTTAAAATACAGAAACTCTGTAAAATCAAACACCTGATAAACTTGATAAACCAGCCTTTAATCGTAAATAGTGACTGTTTTTTCAGTCTTTCTGTTCTCTCAGGCACATCTCAATTAATCCAAACCAAACTCATACAGCTTTAAAAGAACACAAGTGTTATACTGTTATCTTCTGAAAAGCTTGATGAAGAACATTTTTAAGACATTGATTCCTTTGTATGAACATGTCAAAATATAACCTCTTACAGGCTTTCAGTTACAGGATGGGGCTCCAGTTATCCAAATATGAAATGCTATATTATAAAATCCTCTGCTTTGTGTGGCAGCAGTTACTCACCTGTGTGTTTGTGTTGCATAACCACATAGCTGCGTCAGCCTGTGATGCATCAGGTATGAAGGAAGTAACACATTAACACGTTCACATCCCACAGAAACGTTCCCCTAACTGTTTGCTGCTTTGCAGACCCAGACTTGCCACGTGGTACCGTGATTGGCATCGATCTGCTGAACATCCCACCTCTGGACGGTGCCCACTTCCTGCCTAGTCATGATGTCACGGACCTCGCCACGCACGCCAAGCTGCTGGAGCTGCTCCCACACAGCCGGGCTCACGTCGTCCTCAGCGACATGGCGCCCAACGCCAGCGGTTTCAGAGACATGGACCACGAGAAACTGATCTTGATGTGTTTGTCTTTGATCGACTTGGCTGGGAAGATCCTACAGCCGGGGGGGTCTCTGCTTTGTAAATACTGGGACGGGATCCTCGCTCATGAACTCCAGGACAAACTCTCCGCTGTGTTCGGAAGTGTTCGGACTTTGAAGCCAAACGCGAGCAGAAAGGACTCAGCTGAGAGGTATTTCTTAGCTGGAATGTACAGAAAGCAAGAGAAGAGATTGTAGTTGCCTGTTTTTTTTTCCACATGTGTCCCCTCAAATTAAAAATATAGATGTTTTCTGGATACTCAAGTGTGCACTGTGTTTGTTGTGGACATGGATCAAGAGGCTTACTTTATCTTTGAACAAAAGGTGGCACTGTTGAGGCATCGGTAAGCATCACAGCTGCAGGCACAAACACATCACATACTGTCGGTGCAGATTTCTTATCCCTGCAAACTTAACACAGTAGCAGCAGCGAAGCAGTAATACGTAAACGTGTGCAGGAATCACCAGAGTGATATTCCTCAAGAGCCCGTTGCTGTGTCTTCTCTCCAGTTATTGTTTGCCCCACAGTGTTTGTTCTACTGTCAGTCTGCTGTTTGCTTTCTTACAGAATGTCATTTACCAGTACTGCTTATGCTAATAATGTGCACTGCCAGCCATGTAGAAATATGTAATCATTCTCTCATTGAGGGCTTATGAAGGGAAAACCTAACACATAAGAGTCACATCCAGCATGACTAATGGGAAGTGGGATGATGCCGGAGCTTGGCAGCCTGCGAGTGTTGACTGGCTTTGCTCTCTGACAGAGGAGATATGTCCCTTTGCTTGGAAAATATCCTCAGTCATAGTAGACACATTTTCTTTTTCATATATTTTTTTTTTTTTTCAATCTGTGCTCAGAGAAGTCGGGCAAACAGCGTTTATGTGTTTTTTTTTATTATTGTTTTGTTTGTCTCTGTGCTCGTTCATAGTAATGTGATTCTGCTCTGACCAGAGTGCAGATCAGCTGCTAATGAAATAAGAGGCAGAGTCTTATCAGAGCTGCATTATGGAATACACATGTCATATGTGACGTCTCAGAAAATCTCAACAGGGATTCAAAGTATATATCAAACGACCTCATGTATGTAATATATTTGGACCCAGTGCATATGCAGTCTCAATGGGCCCCAAAACTTCATGTGATGTAGAAATAGAAATGTTTTTCCAATATATAAATTGATATATTAATTGGACTTTTCCTCATGTATTGTACATTTGATACCTTCATTATGTCCAAGAGAAAGAGAGATGGGGGATGGCAACCTCATGTACCAAGAAGTGAATAACAACCAATTATTCATTGTGGTTCGTGTCAGTAATGGTTTAACATAAATATCAGGTATACAAATATTTCCACATAAACATGTTTGCCAGATAATACAAATACACACATTTTCCTGACTCTACACTGAACAAATGATGACATGAGTTAAAGTCAAGTAAACAAGATGCTCATCCCTCCTGCTGTATGATGCAAATGTGTCAGGATGAACGGCTTAGTTTGCTTCATTCATCAGCAAGCGGAGCTGCTAAAGCTGCACAGCGCAATTTCAGTATTCCAAAAAGAATTAGAACGAGCAAGTCGTGTTCACTCGTTTGTCTTTGGAAAGGATTTTATTTACAGCACTTTCACCTTAAATTAATTTTGTTTTTGCTCGCCTGACATGAAAGATCTTAATTACCTCAAACACATCCTCTCTCATTGCTTCAGTTTAAGATGCACAACGAGTGGACTAAACGAACTGCACCTTTTGGGGAGGGGGGGGGGGACCCAACCGAGGCTTTAACAATGCTGTAGCTACAAAGAATTGTCTTTAAATGTATTGTCCTTTGCTACAGACGAGGATTACAATAGAAAGTTTTTAAAAAATGAAGCCATATGAGCATATGTTCAGAATTGTTGGGTGCCCTCCCCGTTGTTTTGGCCCCCCATTGGCGAGTTCCACTTTCCTAATCACCTTTTGCCCCTGCCATTCGCAGCTCTAAGCCTGAACAAGAGGTGATCGTGACTTTGAATTCTTCTTTGGTTCAGGAAGAACTAGAAAAAAAGAACCTCATGGAAGTTTTCTTTTTAAATTGAGGATTGGCCGTGTATCCAAAAAAAAAAAAGGAAAAAAAAGATTTCCTGGCTTTTCTTATTCAATCTGACTACATGTTCATTGTAGTTGATTTATCATTTAATAACTGGATAATCTTAACTCATTAAAAAGAAAATTCATTCCAATTACTGATGAACTATCGATGGTAATGGAAACAGATGATCCTTTAATTGACATTTTGAGTCTGATCATTCTACAAAATGAAAATTAGAAGATTAATCTGCACTAAATTTGCATTTATCTTAGCAAAAGACGAGCTGGCTCACATGAATACATGAATATTTAGCCTCTCTGTCTCGGCTGTGATGAGTAATACTGTGTGAACTGAAACATTCATGCCTCTCGATAAGATTAACTGCGTAGAAAGGGACTGACCTCTAAAGATGATTGTTTGCAGTGAATGGGGAGCAGACATGCCTGTTGATGAAGCTGATCATGAAAGATGCGAACAGATGACCAATTTTACTTCTCATTACTTGTTGATTATTCAGCCCTTTGCTATTTGGATTTAAATGATCCTAAAATGACTGTGGGATTTATGTAAATTCCACTGTGGCTGAGCACTCGGGCTCAGGCTGAATGATGATTCATCCACAGGTTAATTCATTCTTCTCTGGCCAGCTGCAGGTTCAGATGTAAATATTAGTGAATTAAGCGAGAAAAACTGTTGGAGAGCTGCACATTTAAAATTCAGATTTCTCTCTTGTCGGCCTGAGTTTTGAAAACAAATCTGCTGCACAAAAAACCTCTTTGAACTGCGTCACTTTGTATTTTTTTCAGCTGAATATATATTTGTATTTTACACTTTTGTACAATCCTATCAGGACATTAAAGGAGACACATAGTGATATCCCACCATGCAACACTTTTTCTACCTGTGTTTAACAATATATGCCAATATAAGCTGGTGAAACATCTGAATTATCACGAGGCTCCTCGGTTTTCTCGTCACTTTGAGGCAATTTAAGAGGTAATTTATCATCAAATTATGAAGATGAAGATCGGTAGAATCATCTGCCACTTAGTGTCGCCTTAATCATGTATTACTTGCAAATCAAACACACACCACAGTAGGCTTTTTTTTTTTTTTTTTACAGTTTATTATAAATAATATTTTTGCTCATTATCCTTCTCTTCTTGTGTGCTCTGACACTTTGCTGTGACGTCAAAGGGCTGCGAAGACTGCAAAAAAAAAACGTTCATGCCTTGTTTTTGAAACCAAATGAATTAAAATCTACTTGTGCATGATGATGAGACTGTTTCACTGCTGAGGTCTCATCATCATCATCAACCTTTTATTTAAGCCTCGAGAATCATTGAGGTTCCCCTCATTTACAACGATGTCGAGATACAAGACGAACAATTTACAACAGTTGCAACAATTAAGAACGTACAAAATTTGTGTTTATAAAAAGCAATCACACACTCAGGTGAAAGGATTTGAGATAAATGACTCAATCCATCTAATAGACATCAGAGTGACAATCTTTTTTTTTTTGCACAAGGTTTGGAGAGATACAGAAAAAAAGAAGCATTTCAAATGCAATATAGCAAATGTTTCAATGCAACAGTACACTTAAATGTGACACATTTAACAAACAGAATGCTTCCTTTTGGATTTGGATTTCAGTAAAAAAACAAAACCTAACTGTCTCTCTCATTTGTTGGAGATCTGAAATTGACAGGAAATTAAAGAAATGATGATAATAATTATATCATTATTACCATCAAGTTATTCATTCTGTGGCCTGACCTGAGTTGCCAAAAAGAATTGCCAGTCTGACAACATTCATTATTCCTTGAGCCTGTTCCTGAATGTAACCAGACCGAGCCAAGCAGGCGTTCACTGGCACCAAGTAATGACTACTATTCTGATGATAATTTAACCATCTCCACAAATAAATGAATCTCAAATCTCGGGACGCTGTGACGACTTTGCATGGGTACCATTTTTCAGTTTATGATGTTCGATGTTTTGGCAAAGCAATTTGACATAATGGCTCGGGAAATTTCCATGCGAACAACCGAGTGCTTTAGTTTCCGAGTGGGAGTTTTTAAGTGAAACATGCTGTAGAAATATTTGTGCCTGTTCAAACGTGATATTGGAGTGCATCTCACCATGACGCACCAAAAGTCTGCCAGGAAAAAGTTCCAGATGCATTGTTTCCGCCTCCCTTGCACTATCACACAAAAGGACACATGTCAGTGAATAATCAAGCTGTATCTCCTCTCGGTCTTCGCTTTCCTTTCCTCGAGGTTTGCTGAAAGACCTGCAGGAAAATGTCAGGAACATTTATGCGAACAGGGTGAGGGATGGTTGTGGGAGGAGGGTTAAAGAGACAAGGGAAAAAACAAAACAGCGGCGTCGGAGGACAAAAACAGCGCAGGTTGCACTCTGGGGCACCATTTTGCATCCCCAGATCGAAGCCTGACATTTACGAACAAGGGTGGAAAATGAATACAGATGGGAGCTGAACGCCGATACCCTTATGATAACATTGTGACGGCAAATGCAGATTTTGCTCCAGGTTATTTATCAGACTTTTTAGTTTGAAAGGTTCAAGCAACAAAGAAAAATGTCTGCCAACCTTGACAGAGAGTTTTAAATAGATGTGTGTTGTAGAAGAAGAGGAGCAACTTTTTCTCTTTGTTATTAACTATCTACACTTTATTAGTAACTGCAATACTTAACAGGGAAAGCCTAAGCTGATTAAACATTATGCCCCAAAAGTGGCAGCTCTTTATCAGACCCTTTAAACATGAGTACATCATAAAAGCCTCTGCAGCTCATGAATAATAATTCTTCATTATCATCATCAGCAATCCTTTGAAGACCAGAAAGACCACTTATCAGGCGCTGTAAACACTCCAAGAGTCTATAATAGATGGATCTTAATATCATGTTTCCTATGAATCAGCTAATGAGAAGGTATGAATTTCATTTTTTTGTCTGTCCATTATTACACCCCCGCTTTTTTTGTGAAGACATTCTCTTTTTCCTACATGTGGAAACCGACGACTCGTTCTAAGTATAGATACAAACACATCAGTTAAAAAACCTCATCATGCTGTTAATACAGATAAAAACAGTGACATGTTTAGTATTAAAGTATTATAAAGAGGGTTTAAAGCTTATCTAGGCAAAGACTGTGTCCAAGTT